AATAGAATCATTTCATAGAGAATGACCAATCAAGAACCAAAGCTAAAGTAATATTCTCACATCTGAAGACTCAGGTTCATAGTTAGCTCCAACGCTCGGGTTAACAGGCTCCAATGTCGACATTGGACCACCAGATAAACGTGTTTCGGAGTTTGATGTTCTCTGCAATAAGCATCTAAAAGCCTCTGAATCATTAGGTGAGCCATAGATCAATAGTTCAGATTCCGCAATCAGAGTTTCCCAATCCGGAGTTTCGCTTTTCGCCTTAACATTGTCACAACACATCTTCTGCAGATCCATTCCACCATCTTCACAAGAACCATTGATAACTTTAGGAGTAATGCAGTCATTCTTCAGAACTTGTGGCGGTTCGGTTTCGACTAAACCTTCTTCTTCGTTAGAAGCAGAGTCATCATCTTTGGAAGGATCAGAAGCATTATTATTATGACTGCAAACAACAAACATTCCAAATTAAGAAGAGCTTAATCATTAATTAACAGAGTAATTAAGGAAGACGATGAGACTTTGAGTTTAACCTTCTGAAACGAGATTCTTTGTGAGAAGCCGCGTGAGGAGAAGTGAAAACAGAAGGAGGAGATGAGAAATTCAGAGAGCTTAAAGTTTGTCCGATTGGGATTGATTTGACAGATTTGATCGGAGACAAGCTGTTTATGTAATTGAACACCGGAGAATTCTGCATTTACCACAAAAACCAAATTCAATTCTAAGAAACAGTTAACAGATCGAAGTACAGATTTCGATCAAACCCTAAACAGGAAATCGAATTCGATATGATGAATTGAAAACATGATAAAAACTGAATCTTTTAAACTAATTGAGAAAAAGTCGACCAAACCCAGAAAAGAAGACAAGAACAGAGGAACATCGAGAAGAGAAAAAGCAGAGGGAGAAACAAGAGATGGGTAATGAAGAAAAACCTCGACTTTGAGTTTAGAAACTGGAGTTCCGATCTGGGTTACAGTTTTTTGCGGTGTATCCATTTTCTTACAAAACAATCTCACTTCCACAT